TCTGTGGAGATCGGGGTCTCTAGTCTTGAGGTTTGGACTCTTTCCATGGGTTTTCTGATTTTCTAACTGTGTTCATTTGTCCTCTCTTCTGCCAGATCTTCCCAGCATCTGGGAAACTCTTGCCTTCTTTGGTCTTGGTCAATTGTAGCTGAGAGCAACCAGATGGGCTTACATCAACAAAGTGCATTACTCAGTAAGGGTGCGCTCTTGCCAATCAAAAAAAGAACATGGGAACTGGGCGCGCTAAAAAAAAACCTAGCCGATCCCTTTGGACTGTGTGAGATGAATTTTACATCAAATGGCATTTTATTCTGTACTGCACTTTATCTTATTATTAAATTTGCCTTGAGTGTGGGAAGTCAACTGGATCTGCGGTGCTTGTTGTTACTGCACTTGTTCTTTTTGCAGTACGGAGGTGTGCACTTGCTAGGCAGGCATTCTACTGAGGAGCCATAGCCCCAAGCTCTTTGGCTCTTTGCTCTGTGTGTGTGTGTGTGTGTTTTGGTTATCCCTGGGGCTTGAACTCAGGGCTTTTGTGCTCAAGGCTAATGCTCTACCACTTGGGTTACAGTTCCACTTCTGATTTTTTGGTGATTCACTGGAAAGTCTGACAGACTTCCCTGTCCATACTAGCTTCAAACTGCAATCCTCAGATCTCAAGCCTCCTGAGCTGGTGGATGAGCCACCAGCTCCTGGCTGGTGTTGATCCTTAATAAATACTTTGCATGTTTGCTGAGTGTCTCCCAGATAAATGACCAAACCACAGTGGGCTATGTGCTTTACAGCAAGGGAGAAACTCACTAACTAGAGGATTCAGGGCAAGCTGCTTGTTCTCCTGAACTTGTTTCCTCATTAGCAAAAGAGAGATGTGTGCCTTGCAGGGATGGGAAGCATCAGTGACACCAAGCACTTATGCACACCTGGCAGAGTGCTCAGCATGGAGGGGCTGTATCCTGTACATTATAGTTTTGCTGAAGTTTTCAAGAGCAGCTGCTCCTTGAAATAATGCAAAGTTCTCCCACACTAACATAGCTTTGTGAGCTTTTGGATCAAGAGGGAGAACTGGGTGTTCAGATATCTGGTCCAAAATGCTCGTGCCTGAATCTTACACAACTGTGAAATAGATACCTAGGGAGTGGCTGTGAAGTGTGCTACATTATTCAACCCACACAAGCAGCCAGTGAGGAAAGTGCAATGTCTAGTCCTGTTTTACAGATGAGGAAACTGAGCAGTCTAGGAACTGCTCTTGAACTTCAGTGGAAATTGGCGCTCTTACCTCCATTTGCCTGGGACTTCCTTCTAGAAAAAACTTTTCTGAATAGTAAAGAGAAAGAGGATGGGTAAGAGGACACCTGGTCTACAAGTGGGTCAAGCTTCATCCATCCTTTGTGAAGCCTGGACTGAGAAGCCACCCTGGGACAGACAGCAGCATAAGAGCAGGAGCGGATGCTCACAATGGCAGTCTTGTTGTCAATCTTTAAGTATTTGCAAATATCCACTCAGTGTTTTCAATATGCCTTTATTTGCTTAAATTAACAGGATATATGTTTTATTTCCAGGTACACTGCCTTTTCACTCAATCCAAAAGCTATATATACAATTTGAATTGCTATTCATTTTAGAGTTTTCGTTTTAAAATACCCAGGCAGAGTTCTGTACAAAACCAACATGTGGTGTAACGTCCAAATATGTGAAGGATTTGAAGTGCTAGCACTGTTACATTTTGTTCCAGCAAAGCAGAGGAAGATCATCATTCAAAACACAACGTTAATATTTTATCAAATGCCTTCAGGGCTTAATAAATATAGTATGCACATTAAGCTTTCTCACACAGATAGTCCAGCTACTTTTATTGGCTTGTAAAAAGGTCAGTTTCAGCCTCATAACTGGGGCAGAGCCAAGTTTTTAAAAAGAGAACTAAAAGAGGAATGGAAAGGCAGCAAGAGGGGGTAATCGTAGGCTCCCTAATACAAAGGATAAAAGAAATATATGCCCCTTTCTATTCATTGGTTGGTCAAAAGCACAGAAAGCATTTGATGGTGATTGACTTTCAGGTAGTGAAGATCATGACCTTGGACTGCTGATAATCTTAGAGGACTTTATTCCTTTGTCCTCTGATGGCCCCACCAGCCCTTCTTCAGGTTTGCATTCTGGTCCACCCATTTCAGCCCAAACCTGGAAAGCCCTTCCCTCAACTCTGTGCTCCTCTCCAGGGAGGCACCGTAATGCATCACTCAACCTTAAATTAAGGGGATGCTACTTGTAATGAGCCTGGGGGCCACTGATAGAAACCCAGGTCATCCAAGGAAAACCAGGATATTAGAGAAAAGCAAGGTGTCAACCGTGGTTCTCAGCTCAACATGTCATCCAGTAGGCTAGAACTCACAGTCTCTTATAACCAGTGTCAAAAACTACGAATAGGCCTTGGAACACACCCCATGCTGGAATTTTACTTTTTCCTATACTTCTTTTTCCCTCCAAATGAAGATTTACGTAGAATACTGTCCTACAATACACAGCAAGCCCAGCTGCTCCGAGTGATATGGACATGGGCACAGATGTGGGCTTTCTGCTCCCCCCAGTGGCTCTGCAGTGGCCCACCACAGATCTCTGCTCCTCTGGGAAACTCCACACACAACTTGAAAGCCACCATTGCACATCACATTCCTTCCTCTACATTAACTGGTCCTTCAAGCATTCCTACAGGGTTGTTTTGCTTGGAAAGGGCTAGAGTTTGTTACTCTAGATTTTCCTGCCTTCTCTTCCAGCTGGACATAGCCAGAAGCAATTGGAAGTACGCAGCACATGTTGTTAGATACTGCACACAGTAGATCCTCAATGAGTGGCTGCCCAATGGATGCAGACGTGGAACATGAGCTTAGGAGAAGAGTGTCACGGAGCCCTGGGGCAGCTTCCTGGGCAATTTCATCAAAGGCACTAATGTGTTGTATATTCACAGTGTGTGGAAGGAACTTGCTCACCTGAGGGCCTGGAACCATTCTCAGCTCAGGGCTGTGCTTGTCACCATAGAAACCCACAGGATTCCCTCTACAGGGGCTGCTTTCACCTCCAGATATATGCGGCAGTAGGAAACCCAAGCAGCTTTAGCACATTGCAGTGGTAGTGAGGCTCAAGGGAGAAATTTTAGAAAGGGAGTAGGAGAACCCAGCAGAGATGACCAAAGCAGAAAGGTAAATGAGGAAGACAAGTCTCCCAGAAAGCACCTGGATAGACAGGGCAAGCCAGCCTCTCAGGAAATGCCCTGGGGAGTCTGCGAAGAGAGAAGTCAAAGTAATCAGCAATGCCCAGCTCTGTCCTCCTGAGGCTCCTACAGAATTTGGGGAAGGCCTGGTCAGCATGGAATCTGAAGCTGAAACAGAAATGAGTGGTGGAGGGGGTTCTGGGAGATTCAGAAATGGATGAGGGCTAGTGGTGTCCAGAGACCAATGAATCTTCCTCAGTTGTGCCTACACAAAAGACTCCAGGGGCAATTTTGAATGTTCGAGGCTCTACTCTCTGATCAATTAAAGCAGAATATCAGGGCTGAGGCCTTGGGTACTTGTTTTTCTTTATTAACGGCATTAGGGTTTTAAACTCAGATGTCAGGCTTGTTAGACTGGTGCTATACTACTTGAGCCATGTCTTCTGGCTTGATTTTGATAGTTATTTTGAAGATGGAGTCTTTTTGCTTTTCTGCCCAACTGGCCTTGAACCTGGATCCTCTAGATCTCAACCTGCTCAGTTGTTAAGATTACATACATAAACCACCAACTACATTTGGTATTTTTTCCAGAAACCTCCTTAGGGGAGTCTCAAGGGTAGTCAGCAGTCCGAACTGGGTGCCGTTGGGTCATGCCTGTAATCCTAGCTACTCAGGAGGCTGAGATCTGAGGATCACAGTTCAAAGCCAGCCCAGGTAGAAAAAGTCTGTGAGACTCTTATCTACAATAAACCACCAGAAAACTGGAAGTGGTGCTGTGGCTCAAGTGGTAGCGCGCTTACCTTGAACTGAAGAGCTAAGGGACAGCGCCCAGGCCCAGCGTTCAAGCCCCACAATGGACAGAAAAAAAAAAAAGGAATACAGTCCGAGCCTGGTGTTGGTGGTTCATATCTATAATCCTAGATATTCAGGAGGCTGAGATCAAGGGACAGAAATTTGAAGCCAGCCCAGGAAGGAAAGTCCACAAGATTTTTTGTTGTTGTTGGTCATGGGTCTTGAACTTTGGACCTGGGCAGTGTCCCTGAGCTCTTCAGCTCAAGGTTAGTGCTCTGCCACTTGAGCCACAGAGCCACTTCCAGTTTTCTGGTTAATTGGAAATAAGAGTCTTATGGACTTTCCTACCTGGGCTGGCTTTGAACCGTGATCCTCAGATCTCAGCCTCCTGAATAGGTAGGATTACAGGCATGAGTCATCAGCACCTAGCCCATGAGACTCTTTATTTCCAATTAGCTACCCCTCAAAAGCTGTAAGTGGAGGTGTGGCTCAAGTGGTAGAATGCTAGCCTTGAGCAAAAAATAAAAAAAAAACAAATATAAGAGATAGCATCCAGGCCCTGAGTTCAAGCCCCACGACTTGCACAAAAAGGAGTATCCTGCCGGGCACTGGTGGCTCATGCCTGTAATATTAAGCTACTCAGGAGATTGAGATCTGAGGATCAAGACTTCAAAGCCAGCCCAGGCAGGAAAGTCCATGAGACTCTTATCTCTAATAAACCACTAGAAAACTGGAAGTGGCATTTGGCTCAAGTGGTAGAGTGCTGGCCTTGAGCTGAAGAGCTGAGGGACAGCGCCCAAGCCCCAGAGTTCAAGCCCCACTGACCGACAAAAAGGAGTATCCTTTCCCATAATTCCTTATCCTGCAGTATTTCTGGTATTTTACTATTTACTGAAGGCTATTTCTATATACAGCTACTAATATTTTCTTCTATCTAGACCAAAAATACTGTAACTTCCACAAATTCAACTAAACAGTTATTAATAAGGTCACACGTCAAACACCAGTTTTTGTGGCTAGAAGAAAATTTACTATATGTTGAGTGTTAGTCAAAAGAAAACTTCTAACAGCACCTCAGAATCAGCTTACAATTAACTAGATAGCTAGAAGAATATGCGTAGTTATTACATGGCTGCTGTATAAAACATCCTTGAAGACCCTGTGTGTGTTCAAAGTATGCAGGGCTGTAGATGCATTTACATTACCTGCTCATTTAGTCTGAGCCATTTGTAAAGATTGACGCCACTCTCCAATCCCCAGCAAATGACTATTCATGCAGAAAGCTGTATTTGAATGACCTAGTTCTCATTTTCCAAAGGTAATTTGAAAACTCTCCATTTTAGATACCCAAAAGCACTGCTTGTTTTTCCATTTTTCTCTCCAGTAATTCTTTAAAACTCTCATCTCGGTGCTTGAAGTATAAGTAATCAGAAAAAGAGGGGCCCCGCCGGGTGCTTTGGAAAAATGCAAGGCGCTCATCCTTGTGGGCACAGTCTCTCTCTTGGCTGCCCTCGGTGCCCTCAAGGTCCTTGCTCCTCTCCTCCTGTTCTTTGGGCCCATCCTCCTCTTCCTTGCAGGCTTCTCCTGGCCCCTGGAGACCCTGCTCAGGCTTGGTAGATAGATCCTGGGGTGCACAGAGCTGCTGGGTCTCTGGGGGCACACCAGGGCTGATAGGTTCCACCTCACAGCAGTTGTCACCATCATCATCTTCCTCTTCCTCGTGGCAAGGGCTGCCCTGAGCACTCTCTTCATCCGAATTGAACAAGGGCCTCTTCACCCCACGCTTCTGGGACAAGTCAAAAGGCTCCTCCTGCTCCAGATCCCTCAGGACACCCGCTGTCTGTGCCAGGGAGATTCTTCCCCTTCCCAAACCTGTGAGAGCAGAGAAAATTCAGCACCCAGGAAAAGTAGCAGCAGGCCAGAGAGGGCTGGGGACCAGTCAGTGGACAATACACTTGCTCATTGTTGTGTGTGTGTGTGTGTGCCAATGTTGGAGCTTGGACTGTCCCTTAGCTTTTTCAACCAAAGCTGGCACTCTATCACTTGAGACACTTCCACTTCAGCTTTTTGCCAGTTAACTGAAGATAAAAGTCTCATAACTTTTCTGCATGGGCTATGTTTCAACTGCCATCTTCGGATCTCAGCCACCAGAGCAGCTAGGATTATAGTAGGCGTGATCCACCAGTGCCAAGATCCCATTGTCTATTTTAAAATGGGTGACTGCCAGTACAGACATCCAGGGCAGGTTTATTGCAGGCAAGCCCTAAATTTGTATAATCCCCTAAGGTGAACGTGGCCATTTTCACAAAGCTTTAAAAATGAAGTTGGCCTGGCAATGACCTTACTGGAACTCTCAAAAATGAAAAGTATCAGGAGGCAGGAGCACAGAATGTGAGGCTGCTGCTCACCATGGTTTGATTACAGCAAAAATGGGAAGGCACTTTTGGTATTTAAGCTGTGGCTCAACACATAATGGTCCATACATAAAATGACATATGTGTAGGTGACAAAGTGATTTACTTTATAAGCAGCAACCATAAACCAATGGCCCTATACTTTTGCCTGCAGTGAGCAGGGGGTCTATTCAGAAATCCTTGAATTCATCAGGGAGCCAATGGCTCATGCTTATCATCCTAGCTACTCAGGAGGATGAGATCTGAGGACTATAGTTCAAACACAGCCTGGGCAGAAAAGTCCATAAGACTCTTACCTCCACTAAACTATGCAGAAAAAGCCGGAAGCAGTGCTGTGGCTCAAGTGGTAGAGCATTAGCCCTGAGCACAAAGAGGATCAGGGACAGCATCCAAGTCCTGAGGCTCAAGCCCCAGGATCAGCAAAAAAAAAAGAAAAAAGAAAGAAAGAAATTTTTGAATTCTGCCTTCAAACTTGCTATCTGACCTCAGGCAGTTTATATAACCCATCTCTTGGTCTCTTATATAAGACAAGAATAAATGTCTCTAGTGGATTTGCAGAAGTGAGCAATGACGCCCCTAAATCTTTTGTCCTGCCCTTGATTATTCTCATGGCCAAAAAGTGGTTCATATTATTTTGTAAATAACCTATGTTACCAGTTTCACTCCTGCACAGACCAAGAGGGTAACAACAGGCCTCAGTCCCTGGGCTCAGCTCACTGTGTTGGAGAGAGCTGCATTTATTGCCTGTTTATCACAGCAAGGGTTGATTAGATGTCTAATCCAGTGAGTTTGGAACACGAACTCATAGCTGCCAAGGGCTGGGGGTTTGAAGAAAGGAGGCCACAGTTTTTCATTAGTTCAGTTAAGACTCAGTGGGGGAGACATAAAACTCTTCTGTGTAGGGGGCAATCGGGAGGAAAACTGTCCTTAAGTGAACCAGGAGAGGAGACTTAGCCTACTAGAAACTTACTTCTGAGTGTTAAAAAGCAGAGCTGCAGAGCCAGGCCCGATGGCTCACATTTTAATACTAGCTACTCACTGAGGAGGCTGAGAACTGAGGCTCATGGTTCGAAGCCACCCCAAGCAAGAAAGTCTGTGAGACTTGTATCTCCAAAATAAACTACTCTCTCCCCCCAAAAAGTCAGAAATGGAACTCTAGCTCAAGTGGTAGAGCACTAGCCTTGAGCAAGATAGAAGCTCAGGGACAGCACTCAGGCACTGAGTTCAAGCCGTAGTACTGGCACAAAAATAAGAAGAAAACTCAGAACTGCGGCTAGGTGCCAGTAATCCTAGCTACTTGGAAGCCTGACATCGTGGTTTGAAGCTGGCCTGTGCAGAAAAGTCTGTAAGACTCCATCTCAAAATTAATCAGCAAAATGCCCAACTAGGTGCATAGGACAAGTGGTAGAGTACCAGCTGGGAGAAGCAAGTTAAGCAAGACTGTGAGGCCCAAAGTTCCATCCACTGTAGTGGCCCCAACTCCCACCTCCTGCTGAAAATGAACTCTTGCTTTTATAAAGTTAAAGAAAAGTTGGACATGGTGTTGCACTTCTGTGATCAGAGCATCTAGAGGCAGGAGGACTCTGAGTTACAGACCAGCCTGGGCTATTTAGCAAGACCTCACCTCAAATTAATTAATTAATCTTTAATCAACCCATTCATTGGAAAGAAAAATCACATGCCCTCTATTACCAACATGCAACCAATAAAGATTGAGTAGAAAGGTCTGGGTTTATATCCTGACTCTGTCCATTTTCTGTTGAGAAATATTAGAAGCCTGTTTCCTCATCTATCAATTAGATTGTTTATCCGGTCCAGAGTTGTATAAGACTTAAGAAGCTAAGGCACCGACAGAAGCAGTGTCTGGACCAAAGAAACCAATGATGGTGCCAGCATCATGATAATGCTCCAAATGTACTATCTAAGATTTTCTTTTACTTATATCCTTTTGATCTTAGACACCTTTGGTGTCTGGTCTTGCTCTTTTGTTGTGGTCTTAAAAATTGCATTCCTCCCCCGCTTTGGTGTGCCAGTATAGGGCTTGAACTGAGGGCCTCATGCTCTCCCAGTCTTTTTGCTTAAGGCTTATTGCTCTACCACTTGAACTACACCTCCACTCCTGACTTTTTTTGCTGTTGGTTAATGAAAGATAAGAGTCTCGTGGACTTTTCTGCCTGGGCTAACTTTGAACCTTGATCCTCAGGTCTTACCCTCCTGAGGAGTTAGTATTGTACATGTGGTGCCTAGCCACCCCCTCCCCTTCATTTTGTACATAAATGATTCCCCAAATAATGCTCGTAACAGTGAATTTCCAGATGTGTATCCCACTGGCACTGCAGGCAGGGTGTTTCAGTTGTGCGTCATACCTTGAGAGTGGAGGCCACGCTCCATCACTCCATGTTTGACCTTCATATGGCGAGTCAGGTTTCCCTTCAGGGTGAACTTGCTCGGGCAGTAGAGGCACTTGAAGGGTTTGCTGTCCGAGTGTAGGTGCATATGGCCCATCAGGTTGTGCATCCGGTTAAATTCCTTCCCACACAGCTGTTGGGGACGAGGGAGGAGAACTCAGTGGTCCTACCAGAGAGAAGCCACATCCGGGCCCACAGCGGGGATGGACATGGGGCCACATCTGATTCTACTCTGCTTGGATCTTGGCTCTTTAAACTGCTTCCAAAGAAAATCTCCTGGAAGTCAGGGAGGGGCTGGTTCTCCCAGCCTCAGAGGTGAGCAGGGAGGGACATGATCCAGGGATCTTTAAACTCAAAACAAAAACAGCACAGCTTTGAAAGCTCTTGTGACTGAGCTGTTCAAAAAAAAAGCGGCTGCCAAAGTGTATCTCTTTAATAATAAAAATACAATGACAAGCTTAATATTTATGATGCTCTTCATCTGAAAGATGATGGGCTAGGGTATGTCTTAAATGGTAGAGTGCTTGGGTTACCAGACCCTGCCTCAAATTAATTTATTTATCTTTAATTCAATCATTCACTGGAAAGAAAAATCACAAGCCCTTTATAAGCAATGTGCAAAGATTGACTAGGAAAGTCTAGGTTCAAATCCTGACTCTGCTCCTTTTCTATTGAGAAACATTAGAAGCCTCAGCACCTCAGTTTCCCCACAGGGTATGGCTCAAGTGATAGAAGCCTTGAGCTCAAACCCCAGCACGGCCAAAAAAGAGTAATAAAGAAGGTACTGTTCTATGTCAGCCACGGAGAATCTTAATTCTTACATCAATTCTATTATATGGTCTGTCATCTAATTTTATACATTGGCAAACTTAGGGCTTAACTTACTTGGCCAAGGCTCCCAGTTATTAGAAACTGTAGTTGGGATAAGATATTCAGAGCACTGGATGCCAGAGACCACAGGACCAACCACCATCCATATTGAGTTCTCCCAACCTAGCCCTCCGCTACATTGCATGTAGCCCTGTTTCTCATTTTCACTTTGCTAATTGTTGGGATGGATTTCCAAGTCCAAGGAACAAAGAGACAGCTAAGAAAGAAGTATGTCTTTTCTCTGGAAAGAGATTGGAAGGAGTGAGAATACGATTTCAAAGTAAACATATTGTATTCATTTAATCATTTCTGTTCTATCAACATGCTCACACATGATAGGTCTACAGTGCTTCTCACACTCCTTCCTCAGGAGCAGAAAGCATAGAATAGATGCTCTGGGATGCTTTGTTCCCACACCACAGTTCAGTAGGATTTGAAAGCTCTAGCCCTTACATAGCTGCTATGATCGGCAATGAAGGATTTTGTTTGTGCTTAGTGTGTTAATGGCAGAGATTTCTCTTTCTCCCAATCCCAGAGGCCAGCAGCGATAAGTGGTAAGAGACCTCACACAAGACAAGAAGTATGGTATTCCCTAGGCTTTCATCAGTTTTCTGTCTCACTGAGAGACACTTTCCGGGACAGTGATGGGAATTCTAGATTGAATTTATTTTGCTGGAGCAGGGTTTGAACTCGGGATCTTGTGTTTGCTTGTTTGGTTTCCTTGATCAGCTAGTGCTCTATCACTTGATCCATGCCCTTCCCCGGCCCAGCCTGCCTATTATCCTGGTTATTTTGTTGAAAAAGTCTCTTGAATTTTTCTACCCAGGCTGGTTTTGAACCTTAATCTTCCAGGCCTCAAGCTCCTTGAATAGCTAGGATTTTAGGTGTGAACCACCAGCATCAAACTTTAGATGGAATTTTTATTAATGAAAGCAACATTTTCTTCAGGGAAATGAGAGCTGAGCTGGCCTTGGAAAGACAGGTAGATCTAAGGAAGATGACCTAGGGAAATTAGCTGAAAGAATACTGGGTGGGGTTGGATGGGAGAGGGTTGAACATAATAATTATCACAGAATAAATGATTGGCTCTGTAGTTTTTCAATGATTCATATTTAGGGATTCTAAGTATTTTTCCCCTTTGCTTCCTTACTAGTGAGAATGAATTTGGCATCCTAAATGGGTTCTATGCTTAGAATATCTGTACCTCACATGCATTTGAAAATGATAACTGAAGTCTTAGTTCCATGGTAGACTGCTTCCTACAAGTACATATGCATTCCATCCCTGGTACCCTCCCCCTTCCTTTCACCAAAATGGTGACCTAAGACAACAAAATGATTGAAGAGTTGATCCTACTCCAACTTTCACAAGAGAAGTGGCATGTGGGATGATGGACCCTTATTTTTCTCTATCCTCATTTCAAAGAAATTACTAAGATACCAATCTGTGGCTCAGCAGCATACATGAGGAAATGTTCTTGTGAAGTTGTATGTATTAGCTTGGTCTACCTATTTCTCTTTTATGGCTATGGACTAAAAGCTTTGAGTCTAGAGATGGTGCGTTAAGTATTTCCAGTCATTGGTCAATTTTATGAACAGTCTTATTTGGCTTTCGCGATGGCTCCTGGCTATGTGAAGGTCTGCTGCTGCTGCTGCATGACCAGCCCTGCAGCCAATACTGAAGAAGTATTCTCACCCAGCGACTGCTGCATTCACCATGGCTCTGCCTGCCCTTCTGACATATCATGTTCAATGCAAGGTAGGACCTCAATAAAAATCTGTTGAGGGAGGAAGGAGGGACACAGGGCAGTAGAAGAATTAATAGAAGAATAAAGCCCCAGGTGGTACAGCACAGAGAGGAAAAGTGAAGCTGAAAGCTGGAAGATTTATGATGCTACTGCACTCATGGTCCTGAAGGCTATACAAACATCACTGAAAACACAAGACTGGGTGCCTTTTGCCCTTGACTCCTAGGATGGGAGAAACTCTTTATTATTGAGATGTTTGAAGCTGGGCTGGTATAAAAGGGTTTTGTAAAGAAGATGTAATTCAACATTACCTTTAAGAATCTGTAGCATGTCCTTGTTTTTGTCATTGCCTATTTCCAGGCACTGAAGTCAATCTTTTGCCATAGGAAGGTGACTACTGCTGCTGGGTTAACAATGAACTGCTCACTGCTGACATGTTTACTGGGACTTGGGGTCGAGGTGGACCCTGCAATTCTCCTGCCCCTAACTCCATACATGTAGATATGCTCATCACAATGGCGACCCCTGGACGTCATCTAAGGTCTTCCTAGCCTCAGACAAGCAATCTTTTACTTCCCTCTCTCATAGCCCAGTTTTTTTTCTAGTGACTTCCTGGATAAGTTCCTTCAGTACTGAACTTCTTGGGACATTTTAGTGGTACATGGGTACACTAGCATATTAAAAATGATTTTGTCACACCTATGTCATCTAAGAAGGCCCACTGTAGGACATGTTGACAACTATCTTTCTGGATTCTCATGCTGTTGGTAATTGATAATACTTGGATATTACATCTATTTGCATAATATATGGTACCTTCATGGGCAGGCTAATGGAGAGTTTCTTCAGGGCAAAGTGGAGATGTGTCAACTCTGAAAGGTGTTTAGATTCCCAAATGGTGTCCCAGGTAGTCTCTAATGCAAGGGCCACCTCTAGCTTCCAACCTCACTATCAAACACAGGTGTGTACACATGGTACACATGAGCATCTAAGCATATGGTTGGGATAACAAATAAAGAGGTCAGGAAAATACCATTTTTTTCTGTTTCATAAAATTCTACAAAGCAGCCATTGTCAGTTCTTTTTTCTCATGAAACCTGTATGATTTAGTGTGCTAACTAAGATCCTTACTGGCAGAGGGAAGGAGTGAATTGATTCGGGAATTGAGCTACTTGGGCTCCTTTCACATCTCAAAGACAAGTACTTAGCTGCTTCTTCCCAGCCTTTGGCCTTCCCCCAAACCCTTTGTTCTTATCCAGTCAGGACACTTGGACTTCTTCACCTCAGATTTTTCTCCAGAGATTGAGTGTGTGTGTGTGTGTGTGTGTGTGTGTGTGTGCGTACCACACCTTTACTTCTAGCTTTTTGCTGGTTAATTGGAGATAAAAGTCTATCCAATTTATGTGCCAAGACTGGCTTCAAAGAACAGTCCTCAGATTTCAGCCTCCCGAGTAGGTAGGATTAAAAGTGTCAGCCACTGGCACATGGTTATATAGAGAATTTTGTTTTTTAACTAATTTGTTTTGTCAGTTGTAGGGCTTGAACTCAGGGCCTGGACACTGTCCTGAGCATTTAAGCTCAAAGATATCTTTGAACCACAGTGCCACTTCTAGTTTTCTGGTAGTTTAATTGGAGATAAGAGTATCATGGGGGCTGGGAAGGTGGCTCAGTGGTAGAGCGCTTGCCTTGCATGCATGAGGCCCTGGGTTCGATTCCTCAGCACCACATAAGCAAAAAGAAAAAAGTGGCGCTGTGTCTCAAGTGGTAGAGCGCTCGTGGTAGAGCGCTCGCCTTGAGCTGAAGAGCTGAGGGACAGCGCCCAGGCCCAGAGCTCAAGCCCCGTGACTGGATCCCCCCACCCCCCAAAAAAAGAGTCTCATGGCCTTTTAAATAGAGATTTTTTTCTAACATCTCTGTAACCAAGAGAAGGCTTTTTTGTATTGTTAGCAAAGAGGGAGGGAAGGGTCTGGGGCCAGCTAATGATGGCATCCTGAGGCAAAGTTTGAGCTCTAAACAAAATCACAGTGTCTGGAGGGGTCAGACAGGAAGGAAGAAGAAAAGCTGGGAGGGAGCATCAATTATCTAGTTTCTTCTCTGGGAAAAAGAAACTTTTAAGTTAAAACTGCCTTGTGAGATATAACGCCAAGATCTGGCTTAAACCAGGACTTGGTGGAATTCTGTCCTATCAAGGGTCTGCAAAGTTTATCTAAGGTAGGTGTTATGCAAGAAGCTAATGGTGTGTTGGGGATTCACTTTCATCTTTTAGAAGGTCACTTCAGCCAGGTTCCCTCTGCTTGAGCTCTACTTAGCAGCACCATACCTCTGAAAGTAAACTCCAGCTTGAGCCAGGCACCAGAGGTTCATATCTGTAATCATAGTGACTGAGTTCTAAGGATGGAGGCTCAAAGCCAGCTTGGGCAGGAAAAAAAAGTTGGAAGTGAAACTATAGCTCAAGTGGCAGAACGCCAGCCTTGAGTAAGAAAGCTAGAGGACAGCACCCAGGCTCTGAGTTCAAG